ATTAAAGCAGTTCATATCATATTCCAATGGGTCAGTGGTTCTCATTGTCATTTCACGTTGTCTAACATACTCCCATGGAAAAATGGATAAAATAGACCATGGGTTATATATAGTTATCGGCTCCTTAGTATTTCTCTCAATTAAAGACACATTTCATAATTCTGGTAAATAAAGATAATGTTACTGTGTAAAATTATTCCCCAGACTTTTAATTCATTAGAAACAAGTTACTCATAGCACTTCTCCTAACTAATTGCGCAGACCTCTCTCTGTGACCACACACAACAGTGCAGAGGGTGGACTAGAGGAGAATGGACTTGGCAGGAAGATCAAGGGAGAAATGGTAAGATCTAGCACTCAGCAAGGGGCAGTGGGGAAGGAGACAGCAGCATGGAATGATCCCCTGTTCTTCTAGTGTAGAAGGTAGCTTAGAGTGAAAAACATACTGGGGCAGGAAAAAGTGGTGGCAGGAAAATGGAAACAACTGTACTTGTACAAAAATAAAAAGAAAACAACAAGAAGGATGGAAATAAACATAAGAACGTTACTAAACTCTAACCAGGTCCTCTTATAAGCATAACATGGAACAGAGAGGCAGAGGCACTCTGTGCTTAGGTACAGTTTAAGAAGCTTCCTGAAGCTTTGAACCAATGATATAAAGGACCAATTATAGTTTCTTAAAGAGCTGCTACTCTTCTTAGGGTCCTGGGTAAGGCTGATTTCCGAGTAGATGAGGTGCTGGAATTAATGGACTCCAGCTTCTTTTGGAGGTGGGCCTCCTGCCAGGGCTGATTAGCCCAGCTGGCCTGTCCACTGTTCCTGTTTTATTGCTTCCTTTCTCATTAAGGAAGGTGTTGGGTTTGGATAACCATAAACAACATGTCTGCTGCAACAAGGCTACCATCTCTTGCACAGCCAGTGGCTGAGACCAGGCTCTTAGGAGCCTTTTTTAAAGACTTGTGTCACAGTTTTGGAGAAACAGAAAAAGGAAGTCCAGTTTTGAAAATGTGCCATGTAAATGGTAATTTTTCTATTTTTACTGTTTTTCCTTTTTTTTAAAAAAAATTCAAAGTGGTAGAGAAAATAAAACTTTAAAAAATCAGTCATGCTTTTCTTAACCTCTCTCTTCCCTCTCACCCCTCCTCTTTCAGCACTGCCACATGAACTAGTCCTGACTCCCTCAACAGGGATGTGAGGGCAGGGAACTGGGTTTCCCTTGTCTACATGGGCCCAATGGCTGAAGTCTATTTAGAACAAAATAGAGAGCTCTCTATTTAGAGAGCTAGCCACTGGGCCTGTATCTACCCTCCATTAGTAATCTCAGCATTTGTACTTCTCCCTCCAGCAGACAGAGTCGTTCCTTAAAATAACTTTCACTGGCACATCATTTCTCACCAGGAACAGACCCTGGTTTTTTCCAGTCCTGCAATTTTCTCTCTTCCAGCACAGGGAGAATCATATTTATGCAGAAAACCGCAGGGTTGAACTATAGCCCTCAGTTTCTTAGAGTTTCACTTTCTAGGGGAGTTTTGCAGGTGGTTCCATCTGGTTTTCCTGATTTTTTGACTCTCCTATTCTGCCCATTCCAACTTCCTCCTCAGCCCCGACCAACATCCGGCCTCAGTGCCTTGCCACCGCATCACCATCACGATGTCCTCCACTCACAGTAGACAGACTGCTCACCACACCTCTGGCCTGTTGCCTACCACTACAAGTGTTGTGTCTGTAAGAAAAGCAACCAGTTCTAACATTAGATTGATACAAACATAATCATATTTGCTGTAGACAAGGAGAATGGTCTAGGGCTGTGGTCTCCAGCCTTTTTGGCAACAGGGGCCAGTTTTGTGGAAGACAGTTTTTCCAGGGACCAAGGGAAAGGGAATGGTTTCTGGATAATTCAATTGCATTGCATTCAAGCTTACCTCCTGCTGTGTAGCCTGGTTCCTAAGAGGTCTGGGCTGGTACTGGTCCTCGGCCTGGAGGTTGGGCACCCCTGGTCTAGGTAGTTTTGATTTACACCTCAAGAGCTCACCATATACCAGACACTTTTGTAAATGCTTTATAATTATTAGGTAATTTAATAATTACCTAAAAAACACATACACACAACTTTATTAAGGTATAATTCACATACCATAAGATTCATCCTTTAAAAGTATGCCATCAGTGACTTTTACTATACTCACAGAATTGTGAAGCCATCACCACTATTTAACTTCAGAACATGTTCGTCATCCCCCAAAGAAACCGCACAGCTGCTTGTAGTCACTCCCTGTCCTCCCCGCTGTCTACTTCTCCCTCTCCTCCTCCAGCCCTAGGAAACCCCCCATCTGCTTTCTGTCTCTATGGACTTGTCTATTCTGGGTATTTCACACAAATGGAATCATACATGTGGCCTCTTTGTGCCTGGCTTCTTCCAGTTAGTTTAATGATTTCAAGGTTCATCATACTCTAGTATTTACCTTTTTGTTGTTTTTTCTTTGTTTGTTTAACCAACCCCCTTTTCTCTAACTGCCTTATTTCAATATCTGTCTTTGAGCAAAAATTAAATTCTGAATATTTTAGAAGCCTAAGACAAAATGAAAAACACCATTATATCACTCAGTTCTGGTTAGTCATAAAAGAAATGCAAAGCTAATGAAGAGCACAGGTTTTCCTCTAGCACAGGTATATTTTAATGAGAATCATTGATGTAGTCCTTCAATTTCACCTTATGGCTCTGTCTTCAGATTATTTCAGGTGTTTTTCTGGCTTTCTTAGTCCTACTGCTTTCAAGCCCGCTCGGGTTAGGCACTATGGGTAGTGCTGAGCATGGGGGCAGGACTACCTGTGGTCCTCAGTGACCCTTCCCCTTCTGGGTGCACGGGGAACTCTTGTTTAGTCTCCGGCAGCATTACCATCCGACCTCCACTATTAGTTCCCAGGGTTTGCCTTCCATTCCTGATTGCTATCTTAATTTCATCTGAAATTTTGAAACCTTTTTATATTTTTATTCCTGAAAGGGTCAAGCAATTTGCCAAATCTGACTTTAAAATAGGTCTCAGGTAACATGAATTCTCTAGTAGATGGCAGAAAGGGCAGGGAGCTATACCTTGGAAGAAGTAAAGTAAGTAATCTGCTGCTGTCTGCCCATGGGCTTGGGAGAAGGAAAGCTCTGACATCTATGCTACACCGTGTATACTGGTATTTTTTTATCTGAGGTGCAGAGAATTAATTAAAATCATATTCCTGAATTGCAGCAAGCCATTATCATCAGTTCACACAAAGACCTGCTTTGTTTTAATTTTCCCCTTCATCTCTAATCCCCACTCACATGCACCTCTCTCAGATACAAAATACATGTCTTCCTTATGTATTTGATTTTGTCTTTAAGAGAGATATCTTTACACACTTTTTAGTGTTATTGGGTGTGAATGAGTAATTACATAAATAATATTGTGCCGTAAATCTTATTCCACTGCTGTTTTTTTAACTTACCACTAAACCTTTAAAACCTGTTCATGTTACTGGCTTTACATTAAATTTATCACTCTAACTGCTGTATAATATTTTATAGTATGTATCCACCACATTTCACTTTCTGTTCGTCTGCAATGGACATCTGCTACAAACAGTGACAGAGTAAACATCCTGATACTTGTCTCCTTAGAGACCTAAGGGAAAATTGCTTTGGTCTATATGCACAGGACAGGAATTGGCGAGCCATAGGACCTACGTAAATACACTATTGTATTTATCCAGTGCCTCTTGTGCATAACCAGCATCCTCTCAGTCCCATCTGCTGCTCTGGCCATCTCTGCAGAGACCAGAGCCAGGCAGCCACACAGGCCGCAGCCCGTGTGGTGCTGGTGTGGTGCAATAAGGCCTCACCCTGCATTTCCTGTTTGGGGGCTTGTCTAAGGTGAAGATGCAGAACACAGGGAATCTGCTCAGCACTCATGCCTGGACGATGAAATGGGGTCCTGGGGGAAGAGGGTCAATGGTCACAGGGCTGGGGAATCATAGTCACAGGGCTGCTCTTGACCTTTGGAGAATACAAGCCAAAGGATAAATGCTCCCCTTTCTTCCCTTTTAGGCGACAGTTTTGAGACACAGTTCATAATGCTCCTACCAAGATCCATGTAGGAGTGAGTGCAAATTGCCAACACTTGTTGCCAACGTAAAAATGCTTCCTGTGCTGGTTTTCCCTTCATCCCTGTTTTAGTCCCTGGTTCCTCATTCCTGCCGTTATTACTTCCCAAATGAACTACCTGTAGACAGGCCTTTGTCTCAGGCTCTGCTTTCAGAGGCTGTGCAGTGCACAACATCATCCCTAAGCACTGCCAGATTGCTGTCCAAAGGCTCTGAGCTCTGACCGGGATAGCCTGACCAATCTCCAGCGTGTGGGTCAGAAGAAACTGGGCCACTTCAAAACTTCAGAGGGCCACCTTTTGACACGAGGCTTTGCTTTGGCTTAGAAAGTTGCTCCCTGTGTAGGATCTTTCACCTGTGGGTCAGTGATTTTTCTTCTTACACTCACTGCAGTTATTTCCAAATGGGGTTGTAACATGTGTACATGCCCTGGTAAGTATAACTTACTTTCCCCGAACGTCAGTCTCTGTCCCCTCATGATCCGTGACCTGTAATGCATGGGCAGTGCACTCATCCGTACATGTGCTGAAAGCATGTTAAGAAAATTTGCTTCTCAGTACTTTTTAATATAGAAATATCATAGATTTATATTTCCCTATAAAGGGTGTTGCAGTCAGTTTATGTCCTGGAATATGCACTTGTTCTCTTGTCACATTGGATTTACTTAGGAAAAAATGGTTATTTCTTTGAATGGACATGTATCAATATGAATGCTTGTGTGCGGGATGCACCAACATAAGAAAAGCACAGATCATTGCCACCTGGGAGCAAGGGGTTGGAGGAATTTCCTTAAGGGAATACATGTTTTTCCTCTTTTGGGAACATCTTTTAAAAATCTCACCACCCCCTTTGCTTTTGTTGTGTGACAGGTGGTTAATACATACACCCCAGGAAAGAAGATTTGGCTGGAAGGTGTGGTAACCACCTCTGCTGGAGGCACAAACAACCTGTCGGACTCCTATGCTGCAGGATTCTTGTGAGTAACATTGCACTTTCACCCCCAGGCACTTTGAGGAAGGACAGGGAAACTGGGACAGTTGCTCAGTATTCTGCCCGTGAGAGGGGGGAGTTTGTTCTCACTGAAAATTCTTCATCCATTTATTTGTGAATGCATTTTACCATTAACTAGACAGTGCTAGGGACTTCTTTAGGTATTAAAATGTCAGGCACAAACATCAGAACAAAATAGTAGCAGCAGTAGTAGTAAAAGTACTGAGAAGTTTATTTGATGTCTCCAATGCAAACCATAGCACTGACAACATACACTGTCTCATCTAATTGTCACCGTATTCATGGGAGACAGGGAGGAGCATCACAGGATTTTTGCCCTCCAAAATCTGAACATTGCAGGAAGGGTTACAAGAAGTACATAAGTGAACTCATAGAAGATAAATGCCATAATGATACTAATTTTAACTCCACGGTACTTACAAGGTGCCAAGCACCATCTAAAGTGCTTTATATGTAGTTAATAATTTAACAGCCAGTGAAATAGATACTATTGCTTTATAACAACCCAGTGAGATAGATGCTATTATTAGTTAGTTGCTGAGATTGGACCCGAGCCCTGGCAGCTGACTCCAGAGTCCAGCCTCCATGCCGCTACATCGCAGCACCTTTCTTTCTGCTTTGCAGGGTCTGTCTATAAAAGAAAAGTGATAGACATGCAAAGGTATCAGAATTCCTCCCACTGGGAGGATCAGGAAGGGCTTCATGGAGAAGGTGGCATTTCCGTGGGACCTAGAGAGGTTGCTTGTTTCTGTTGGTGGAGAGCAGCGGTGTTGGGATGGAGAGCACTCTCCATCCAATTGGAAGAATGGGGGCACGGGACAAGTGTGATGAAAGCCTCAGCATCCGTGGGGACGTGGGAGGGCTGAGACTAGGGATGGGGTTTACAGTCAAATCATGAAAGGCCTTAAAAACCTGGCAGAGGAACCAAGGCCTTCTTCTGTACTCAGTGGCAAGCCAGGGAAGATTTTAGGGGAGGAGAAAGACACTTCTGACCCGTATTTTTAAATGTTGGCTTTGGCAATAGTACACTCAAGAATTTGGAGAGGTAAGGGGTGGGGAAATGATTCTGAAGGCTACTGCAGTTGTCTGAAGAGCAATTTAAGCCAGAAGAATAAGGGCCCGTCACTGGCCTGTCAGCATTACGTAGCAGGGACAAGCCCCTCAGGACCACAGACTAACCTGGTCTAGTCTAGTCCCAAGATCCTGGCTTGAGTAAGATCTCCTAAGCTTCTTTGGTACATTTGTGGAGGACAAATCGGGTCAGGCAAGTAGATTGTTTTACAAGTGGAATCCTGCCAGTGCAGATGAAAATAAGGAGTTAATGTTAATACACTGTGATGCCCTGGGTCTCCCATTCACATGTCCTTGGCCCCTAACACTGAGTGGCACAAAACAGTTGTTAATGAGCATGGTTCAGATGAGTGAAATGAAGTGAATCAGCATTTGATACGGTGTTGCCCAGAGTCTTCTTTCAACAATACACTCCCACTGGGTTTCACTGTGAGCCCTGGGGCAAGGGGAAGGAGCCAGATTGGCAGTCAGTACTACAGGGGACCTCTTGGAATCAGCAGTGGAATGGCTTTTGCAGAGCTTTGCAAAAAAGAACTGCTGCAGGGCCCAGCAAGCAGCCCAGTTGCACTGAGTGTTTTTATGAGCATTGTTCCCTTCAGGGGATGATGCGAAAAGAGAAATACCACAGACTTCTCTGGAGGGAGCTAGAGAGACACCTGTCTTTTCGTGAGCATCCTGATGCCTGAGATGTGTAGATCTCCATAGTCATTTTGCAGAACACAAATAAACAAGAGTTGTTTAGATTTTGGTTGTATTTCAGATACCCACTCCTAGTCAGCACAGATCATATGAAAAGTAGCTTGTTCTGCTCCTGGTATTCTTTCCTACACTATTATCTCCCATTTGCTCTTATTTCCACTGTCAACTACCCAACTTTGTGCCCTTTGAGTTCACTTCTCTTCAGGGGCATAAATTGTTTTCTAGAAAAAAAATAAAGCATGATAGGAAGTTCCAGAAAGCGAGAAATTGGAAAGAAGGCATTTTTTAGTCTTTTTTCAGTATATGGCATAACTGTGAGCTTACTAGAACATATACCTGTGTGATCATGAATCAGAATTCTTTACAGCCAAGTATTCAAGGGTGATTTTCCCACCAACACTTTGAGACTCTTCGGTGCACTGCACAGACCCCTGGGGCATGCTCCAGCTCCTGGAGGTGCCTGGCATGTTGCAGGTATTCAGTAAGCTCTCGGGGAATGAAAAATAATGGCTGCAGTGCCATCCCTGGTGCACTATTTCTATCAGCTCAGCACCTTTCTCTGCTTGAGCAGAAAAGGGAGACTTGAAACATCATTTAATTCCTCTTCTCGGGGCTTATTATTGCAAGAAGAAGATGAAGATAACTGCATTACTAACTATCCACTCTGAAAAGCAGGGGTTCTGGTCCTAGTCATTTGTGAATGCTACAGGGATGTGTGTCCCATATAGGATGTGGGTTTGGAGTGGAGGGTGATGTATAGTCTTCCCTCTCACATGAGAGTTCCTTCAAAGACTCCCTGTGTACTAGCAAAAAAAATCAAATTTATTAATTAACATTTTATTTGTTAGTTATATATATTCTATATATACACATATTCGCAGTCTCTGCAGGTGACTGCTAGGCTCTGGAGAGGTCACAAGTAGGAATGTGATACCATCCCTGTAAATGTGCACATATGTACAGGCTATTTACAGACCTGGTGCTTTTTACAAACGACTGACATGGTCACACAAGCATGTTTCTTAATCTACCCTCCATGCTGAGAACAAGGCCTGGCATTTACAGTTGATTAATTAATACCCTTGAATGAAGAATAAATGAACAAGCAGGATCTTTTTATATTAAAAAAATACCAAAATAAGGTCTTCTTTTGACATTTAGATGCTGCTTGGTAAAGGGACTCCCATATATGTGATTATATATTTAATCATCAGTCTGTCTTCATTCTTACAACAAAGATAGGGATAGAAAAGAAAAGAAGACACATTGTCTTTATAGACAAAAACTTGTTAGAATAGACTATATTGTGTGTGTGCTGTTTTCTCATTGAAAGAACACTGCTTTAGGAGGTCTTTGCCCAAAATGCACATTACAGTTCTACCCCAAGGCCTTTAATACTGTGTCTCCAAGGAAAAGCTAAACCTGTTATCCTGATTGCACAAGGATGCTAAGTCAACAATAATAATAAAGGCAAGCAGCTTAACCATGTGATATTCCAAAAGTAATTTTAATTCCCTGGGGGCTATGACTTCCCGATAGAACAACAACAGGGAAGGTTCTATCATATTATCATTACATTTTCTTTTCATTTAAAACTTTTGTACCTTCTCCCCCCTTCTCCTTCTCCCCTGTTGTAGCATATACAGTAGATAGAAAATAGTTAGGGGGGAGGGTAAGAATAGTAGGGGAAATATAGAATCTAAAGAACTTGAGACACGTGTTCATGAACTAAAGGGGGGAGAATGGTGGGGGAGGGGTGTGCAGGGTGGAGGGGAACAGGGGGGGAATAAAACAAATGTAATGGCATAATCAATAAAAAAAGTTAAAAAAATAAAATAAAATAAAATAAGTTAAAAAAATAAAACTTTTGTTTCTGTGGTTTGTTTTGTTTTATGTTTGGAACTCTAATTATCATCAAAGATTTGCTAGTTTTTATTAGAATAACATATAATTGTCAATGTGAAAAATATTTGAAAATATCAATGATATACATTCATAATATAAAAATTAGCAATGCTCATTATTTCAGTAAGGGAACATCTTAATTCTGTAGGCCACTGGTTTGGAGTTCCATATGGTTTGAGTTTGGGGAAATCATAACTATGCATAATTTGTCCCTAGTATGCTGAATGGTGATTCTTAAAGTTCCTAGAATCTAATTTAATCCAGATCAATTTCAACATGATAAAGAGGATTGAATATCTACAGTGTACTGGGAACTCTGGTGGGATGTTTTGGGTACAAAGCTAATGCATATGTCTGTTCCTGATGAGTTTTTAACCAACTGGGAGATGGCAGAGAAGTAAACAACTGATTATCATTTAGTGGGCTGGCAGAGGGTATGAATAAGAGTTCTGGGAAATACAGAGGAGGAAGGTATTACTGTTGATCAGGGTGGCAGAAGTTAGAAGGAGGAGACACTTAATTTGGAGATTAACAGATGGAGAGAAATTTGCCAAATGAGGTGGGTTAGAGGAAGACAGAAGGTGAATACTGAGCAGAAGTTAAAACATATATAAAGCCTCAGGTAAGCATGTGAAAGCATGGTGCACTTGGGCAGCCAAGAGCAGCTTTATGTGGCTGAGAGCCTAGGGAATGGAGTTTAGGGTAAGAGAAGGGGAAAGAAGAGGTGAAGATGAAGCTGGACACATATGCTCAGGAAAGACTGAAATGCCTTATTTTCTACACTGAGATGGCTGAAGTTCTTCTTACATATATATTATTACAATTGGAAGTTTCTCTAAGTTTCAGAAGTAGAAATACAAAGAGAAAAAGTAAATTAATTCATGAATGAATGAACAGAATTTGTAAACAATGAAGGCAGAGTTAGCATGGGTGTTGGAAGAACCAAGATAACAGTATTTTTGAAGTTGGGCATGCCCTGGAAAGTGGGAGTTGGGCACAGTGGGGTATGTGATAAGTGTCTGAGCAATGCAGGCCCTCCACTTTAGTTCGTATGTGATAGTAGCATACTCGAATCCCTATATAGTTAGTTACAGTACCAAGGACAATTATTGTTGCATTGACTGCTGATGGTAATATATGAGCAATCAAATGGCTGGACCACTGTTGCACAGGCCAAAGGACTGTTTGGGTTAGGGACACATGAAAGGTGTGTGCACAGTGATGGCGTATAAGCAGAGTTTAAGTGATGGAAAGGATAGTGAGTGTGCTTCTGTGATTGTGCATCCTGTGGCCAGGGGGCAATAATAAGGCTTACAAGTGGGTAGGGTGTTCGTTTTATTTTTTAATATTATAGGAATAAGATATAAGTCATTATCAACAAGCTACCTTGTGATAGGACAATTCATTTTACTCTCCCAGACTTCTGTTTCTTTTCCTATAAGGTTAGATTTGATAATCTCTAAAATCACTTCCAGCTGTTTATTCAATGCTTAAAATAATCTTCTTCTTTAAAGTATGAGGTAAATTTGGTGGGGGGGGGCGGTTTAGTGTGTTAGCCAGTCTCTGTAGAGCTTGTTAAATGCCATTTAAAATATATTGATGTAGCTTTTTCCCCCTGCTTTTTAGATGGTTGAACACTTTAGGAATGCTGGCCAATCAGGGCATTGATGTTGTGATACGGCATTCATTTTTTGACCATGGATACAATCACCTCGTGGACCAGAATTTTAACCCACTACCAGTAAGTGTGAGATAAAGATTCCCAGCTCTTTTCTCGTGTCATTCAGTTCTTTTGATCGTGCCTTGTTCCACACTGAGGGAATTTTTCTTCTTCTGTTATCAGTTAATTTTATAAATTGGACAGACACATTCTTGACCCATTGCACAGACTTTTGGCTTCCCCACCCACCCACCCCCACACCTCTATATGTGCATGTATGCATACATGTAACACATACATATATGCATTTATATATAACATATTTGTGTATTTATTTACTACCATAATTTTAAGAAGCCTTGTGCAATTGAGATTCCATATCTACTTGTGGCCTGTTTGAACTCTGCCAGAGAGTGAATTTTTCCAGATTGTTTTCTTTAATGCTAATAGGAGACATTAGTTAATGTCAGATGCAACATGTTGAAAGCAGATGGGAGAGTGCTTTCCAAGATCGGATACAGTAGGAGCTAGTCTCTGGGAGAGTGGCTGAGTGAAGTGCACTTATAAGCAGAGTTTAAGTGATGGAAAGAGTCAGATGTTGATCCCTATGTGAGAATGAGGGGATTTGCCCAGAGCACCAGCTTCTCTGGCAAAGCAAAGGAACTAGAAGGGGAAAGAAGAATGGCAAAAGCAGAGGTCTGGGTTTGTCTGGTGATGGGATGTCAGAGAAATCCCACTCTGTCCAGAAAAGCTGTGCTTATCAGAAATATTACATGGTCCATCCTTTTCACAGATGTCTTGGTCATGATGCAGTGTCGGACTCCTCTCATTAACCTGTAGAATGCCAGATCTAGGATCTCCCTTCAAGATGATCTAGTTCCGCCTCATGTAGCAGACGGACTGATAGCTGGTGGGGGGTGGGGAAGGCGGGAATACAGCAGGTAGAACCAGCTCTGGAACCTGTCCTGTGCCCTGGCCCAGTGCTCTTTCTATAGAAGTGCTGTTCCCCGGGGTCCACAGTAAACAAACCTATTGGAACCAGTGAGTGTTCCTGCCATTCGCTTCCCTCCACCTATTCCCAGGCCTGAACTAGGAGGCCTCTAAGCGTAGAACAGAGAACAGCTTGTCACCCAACAGCACCATTTCCATGTCTCAAAACAATCCCTCTAGTCAGAGTTCTGAATAACTATTGTATCAATGATAGCGCATCACTTTAATTAAGTCACAACACGGAAACTGACCGACACAGTTGCTGTTTTTCACAGGGCCAGGATCCCTCTCTCAGAGTGTTCGGGGGCTGGGTGTGGAGGGGCAGGAAGGGAAATTGCTGTTTGGAATCTTAGGGTTTGGTGTTGTTTTGAGCTCATAAACTTGTGGAGAAAATCAAAATAAGTAGAAAAAATATCTTAAACAAATATAATGCTCCATGAAACCACTTGTTAATCATCAGGCAGTGAGGAGGAGATCAGTAATACGAAAGCAGACATGTAACTGATAGAGAGAGCACTGTGACGGGGTCGGGAGTCTCCATTCGAATGCACACACAAGGGAGGCTGGCTTCTCTGAGGCGGCATTCAAGGTTAAGATTCCAATGACAAGAAGGGGCCAGCCATGCAGATTTGGCAGGAGAGCTTGCAGGGAGGGGACGAGGTCAGCACGAAGGCTTCACCGAGGGCCTGTCTGAGGAATCCCAAGAACAGCGGAGCGATGGGAGCATGGCAAGGAAGTGGAGTCAGATCACACAGGGCTGCTTGTTTTCTGTATTGTTTTATATATTTTTATTTCTATTTTTTATTGTTGTTCAATTAAAGTTGTCCCCATTTCCCCCTTTACTGTCCCCTACCCTACCCACCCCTAACTCCTGCATTCAATCCTCACCCCCCCATAGCCTCTGTCCATGGGTCAGGGGTTTGACTATTATGGTAAGTAGTATGAAAGCCATTGGACAGTTTTATGCAGAGAAGTAACATTTAGAAAGATCACCCTGACATAATTAATACATCAGATGTGTGTAATACTTTTTTAATATCATGGATAATATTTAATTTACAGAGCACTTTCATATATGGTACATCAGTAGTGCTCTGAGCACTCTGTACTCCCTCTCCTTCCCTTCTTCCTTTCTTTCCTTCTTACTTTTTTTCTTCCTTCACTCATTCAAATCTTATTCACTCTTCTTGATCATATGCAATGGGCCACTGTGATGAATCAAAGGAAAAAGGAACTCTTGGAGCTTATAATCTAGTGAGGTATACTGAGAAATGGGAAATAAATAAACATGCAAATAAAATAATTACATTTCATAGTTGCTCTGAAGAGAGTCTCGTAGTATGACTATACTTGTTTTGCTAATGATAAACTAAGGTTATTAAGTGACTTATCTAAGGTCAGACAGGTAGTAAGAGCTGAAAGTCTCAGAGTTTCTCACTTCCAATCCTGTCTTTGCCTCGTGCTGCACTACTTCATTCCGTATTCTCTGTTGCATCTGTGCCACGGTTTGAGGTCAATGTTCACCTCAGAATTGGGTCTGGAGATGGAAAACATGCATTTTACAGAATTTGAGAGAAGAAAACCTAGACTAGAAAAAGATGGCCTTTGGGTGACCAGACAGGCTTGATTTCTAGAAGTGGACGAACCCAGGTTCCAAAGCAGGACCCTGTATAGGTTAAAGATGCGAGTCTTCCTGGCTTTGTTTTTTCAAATGAGCATTGCTGCAGGTGACTTCCTTTGAAAGCATGGCACAAGAGACCTGCGCTGATGGTGGCGGTAGCAGAGCTCACAGGAGTTCATAGGAAGCTAAAGCCCATCCCACTGATTTAGCGCAAATGAGCTCGGCAGCTGTGTTTCTGGAAACACCAAGCTCTAATAAACTGTGTGTAAAAGCACTTAAAAAGGTAGCAGCCTTTTTTTAATCTTTCTTTGCACTAATAAATTCTGCACCTTATAAGTGGAGAACTTGGCAGCTACAGAGTGTGTCCTAAGTCCCCTGGAAAGAATGTCCTAGGCCAGACCAGGGCCCTGACCTGACAGTGCTTGCCAGCAGTCCCTGGAGTACGTCGTGGAGGTAGGCCTGGGAATTGCCCAGGGTGCCCCTTCGAGGGCTGTACAGCTGATAGCCAAACACTGCCAATAAAAACTTGAAGATTTTATATTGTGATTAAATCTTCAGGAGAATTTGTTAAGAGCTTAGGGGATTACTGAGTTGTGTTTTGGTTGCCTCCCAGAAAAATCAGCATTTTCTGTTCCAGCTCCTTCAAACCTAGCTCAACACAGTTTAGGAAAGATTTTTTATTAGAAAACACCATTTCGGTTTTGCTTTTGTTAATGTTCTAAGGTAAATTTTGTAAACGTTAGAATCATGGCCTAATGGCTCCTCACCCCGGCCACTGACTCAGTCAGCTTTGACCCCAGTCTGTAGGATTCCAGCTGAGCTCTGGCAAGGCCATTTCCCAGTCTAAGGTAAGAGAAAAAACTTGTCTTCAGAAAAGATCTTTCTCAATGATATCCATGTTCTTTATGGTTCTTCCCCCAGAAAAGTGCCAACTCTCGTCCTTCTGGGAGATTTTCCTTCTGGGAAGAGAACATTTAGTTCAGCAGTGCTTCGTCAGTCAACTCCCACCCTTTTCCCCTGACCCCCGTGCCACTGGGAAGGAGGGAACGTGTGAGCCTCCCCAGCCAGCCCGCCAGTCTTGGGCTCCCGTGGGAGTAAGTGATGTTTGTGCATAAGGGATCTGCACATTCGGTGGACATAGTCCAGACCCCACCAGTTGTGGACATTCTCCTAAGAGAGGGTTTGGGAATTTAGCTTGCTGCTTTTTTTTTAAGAGCTCAATTTACAGAACTCTCAGGGAAAGGAATGGTGAATTACTAGTCAACATCTTCACTCCCACGCTAGCCTAGCAAATATAATTCAATTACAGAAACATTAACACTTCAAATGTGTCTGGTTCTGTGCTAGGTATTCTTGGGACATGCAGACAAATAAGATACAGTTCTCTCATCCACAGAGCTAACAATCTGGTGTGTGTTTGTATTTGAAGGGTTACAATTTAGTTCTCTGTTTAGAATGAAATAGAAAACAAGTCCACGTTGGAATGATTTTTCTATATTGAGCACAGTGGTGGAATATTTATATTTGCTATCAGCATTCTTTGTTGCTGACTGCTCCTGCTGAATAATAAGGAACATTCAATTCAACCCAGTGCACACTTATTGAACACTTGCTGTGTACATTGTTCTGAAATACAGTCAAGGGGTCATGGATTGTAGTACAACTCACTAGTCTTATGGTGGGATTAAACCTATGGCTGTGGTTCTCATAGCAACAGCATCTGAGCCACGTCACTGTTGATCCGATGTCATTTGACCATTGGAAAGAAATTGAATTATAATGGTGCCTGCCTAGCTTCAGTAATCAGCCTATCACAGGATTAAGGTCCTAGGTGCTTCATTCTGCTCCCCTCCAAAAGGTTAGACAGTGCCCCCCATGCACTGCACAACTGTGACATGGACACAGGATCAACCTAAATCTGTCCCTTTCCTGAGGAAGCACAGCCAGTTACAAACCCTGTCCTACTGATGCTAGATGGATGCACAATTTTTCCTGATACACCACCTCATTAGGGGGCTTTGTGGGAAGCAGCAGGAGCCTGGTATAATGAAAAGATTCACGATTCTAGTCCTACCTCTGCCATTCGTTAGATATGTATCTTTAGATTCCAAAGTTCTCATCATGTAAATTGTGATGAAAATGTCTGCTCTATCTGCCTCCTGAAGATATTGTCACACTCCCTGAGAAAGTTAGATATGACAGTAGGATTCTAATTCTGTATATACATGCACACATAGAAAATTGCTGGAAGAGATTACATGTAAATGTTGACAGTGGTTTTCTTTGGGTAGTGGGATTAAAGATAGTTTTTCTTTCTTTCTTTTTTGTGGGTATTTTTTGTATGTAGAATTTTACTACAACCAGCATTACTACTTTTTAATCTGAAAAAATAAAGGCTATTTTTAAAAGTAAAAATAGAGAATTTTGAAAAGATTAAGTGCTTTAAATAATTGAGCAAATATTACCCTTA